GTCTTGAAATATTTGACAGAATTCAGCATTTGGCCTTAATTTTTTACAAATCTGGCCAGGTGTGGTGTCTCATGCCTGTAATCCCAGCACTTTGGTGGCTGAGTTGGGTGGATCACTTCAGATCGGGAGTTTGAGACCAGCCTGACCAAAAGGAGAAAGCCTGTCTCTAGTAAACCCTGTCTCTACAAAATTAGCCAGGCATGGTGGCGCATGCCTGTAGTCCCAGGTACTCAGGAGGCTGAGGCAAGAGAATTGCTTGAACCTGGGAGGCAGAGGCTGCAGTGAGCTGAGATCGCACCACTGCACTCCAGCCTGGGCAACAAAAGCAAAGCTCCGTCTCAAAAAATAAATAAACAAAAACAAAAATCTGTTTGCAAACTTGTATTTAAAAGGTATTTTTTCAGTCTAAGAAATGGTTGCTAACCTATTGCACACATTAGTCTCAGCAGCGAAATAAATGTAAAACTGTCTCTCATATCTGCAGTAGTAGAGGAGTCAGACAATGAAAATGGCAAGAAAAATATATGAAAGAGATAATAATTGCATCCAGGTAAAGTTGTCATTATTTACTCTTGACCTAATCAGGTACTTAGAAAATAAAAAATAATAGACAAACTCATAGATTTAATAAGTAAATGTAAATAAGGTTGCTGGATACAAAGTCGCTATACATTAAATCAATTATGTTATTGATATAGCTTGGATGTTTGTCCCCTCCAGATCTCATGTTGAAATGTAACCTCCAATGTTGCAGTCTTTTATAATACAAGAATTTAAAACAATTTTTTTTCTAAGGACTGCCTTGGTTGCATAACAAAAATTTTAAATACTCATTTCAGTATTATTTTATTTAAAATTATCTTCTAATTTTCCTTCTGATTTTATTTGACAAGTCATAGATTATTTAGAAACATATTATTTTACTTCCAAAAATTTGGCCAATGTTCTTCATCTTATTTGTAATTGGATAAGACTGTGTTCAGATAATATACTCTGTATGATTTTATGCTTGTGAAAGTAATTGAGACTACTTTTATCGTCACAGTATTTGTTCTATTTCATGGGTAATCTTTGTGCAATATAAATAAATAAACATTCTGTAGTTCTCAGATGTCAGTATATATGTCGATTATAAATGCCAGCTCAGTTAAGGTGGTTGAAAGCATCGTTCCTATCTTGATTTCCTCCCTGATCTTTGTTTGCACGAAGCTACAGAGATGTTTGTTGTCTTCTATCTACCTCCCTAGTTCCCACACTACCAGCATGAAGTCAGAAAAAATTCTGGAAGGAGACTCAGCTGGCAGGGTAAAGTAGATATGTATTATTCAGGGGGCCTCTATAGACTGTAATGCAGCACACAAGCCCACGGGGCTATTTACAACTCAACTGCTTTGTCCTCAGTCCCTCACAATCTCCCTTTCTCAGCCAGGCTCAATCTTTCCCCCCGTTAAGATTCCGTAGAGGGGTCAAAGAATAAGAGTGGACATTTGTCCCTGCTCACCTAAGTGGAATTTGTTCATCTCCGGAATTTGGAATTTTTATACTTTTTGATCTACGGCTCATTAAAATTTTAAAAATAAGATTATTTTCCAGTTTATCCATTTAGTCTAGTCTATATATTTTTTTGTTCTTATAGTAACAATGACAATTCTTATAATTTTCTACTTCCTAATTGGCATTATGTTATATGATTTTTTTCCAATTCATGTTGATAGTCCTACATAATTTACTTAAAGCCCTGTATATTATTCCTTTCTATGTCTATACCACAATTTACCTTTCTTCTAAATATTGAGAATGTTTCTTTTCTCTCCTGCTACATTTTTTATATGTCATCATGGACGTACAAGGAAAAATGTACCGAGACTGTAAAAACCTAGAGTGGAAATACTGTATTATCCAAATGACTCAGGGTTATATCAATAAATGCTCACAGTGCCCCATAGGACACCAAATGTCATCCTGCAGTGTGCTGTCACTCCACATGCTGCATAGTTTTTAGGATGCACAAAATTTTTATAATCAAGACAAGTGAATCAGTTTTTCTTTTAGAATTTCAAAATGTTTTTGTTATTGCAAACCATGGCTCAAAACGACCAATTTTATATTTCTTTGGGCTCATGTAGGATTGTTTCCTGAAGACAGATGTTTAGAATGGGATTTTTGTTGTTTTCATCAAGCATGTAACAATTGCATTTTGAGTTTTAATAGCACACTGCCATCCACTCACAATCCTAATAATATAGAAGAATCTATTCCCATAGAATCTTCTAAATCCTTGGTTTTAAAACAAGCTATTGTATTTTCCAGTTTTTTGGGGGAAAAATTGCTGTGTGAATTTAGATTTTTCCGTTCGTTGGTGAGTTTGAGCAAATATTTGACTATTGGAATATTCTCTTCTATAGTCTATATCTTTTGCCCAATTTTCTGTGGCATTTCCATTAATTAATTTATTGATTAGTTAGCAATTTTTCATAAAGAAGTTAACCCATTGTCTGTCTTACGTGATCAAACTTTTTTCTGAGCGTCATATACTTCTTTTAATTTTATTATTTCTTCAGGCAAAGAAGTCAGTAATTTTCTTCAAATATTTTTTCATTTATGTCTTCTGGATTTTGTTTTGTTTACAAAGTCTTACTTTTTAAAAAAGAATTATTTTAACAGGATTCCTAAGGCTTCATTTACATACTATGAGATTCATTCATTCTATATGTAAAATGTAATGATTTTAATAAATCAGTACATTTATGCAATTATCACAACAATCCAGTTATTTTTTTTAACATTTCTCCATTTACAGTTAATTCCCACCGATACTCCAAGCCCTAGGCACCCAATGATCTGCTTTTTGCGTGAATCAATTTACCTCTTCTACATATTTCAAGTAAATGAAATCATACATTATGTAACCTTTTGTGTCCAGTTTCCTCACTTAGTTAACATTATTGAAGTTCATCAGTTTTGTAGTATGTATCATCATTTTGTCCCTTTTCATTTCTTTTTATTTATTTTCTTTTTTCATTTGTGTAAATTTATAAGGTCCAAGTGTAGTTTTGTTACCTGTGTAGATTGCATAGTGGTGAAGTCAGTGTTCCACAGTATCCATCACCCCAATCACATGCATTGTACCCATTAAGTAATCTCTCATCACCCGGAGTGCAAGGGTTGAAACTTGCCTTGGGAAAACTACCCTCATGTTCATGGTATCTCCCCTGCCAGTTAAGTCTGGTTTTGTTCCCTTTTATTGTTGAATGATATTGCCTTGCCTGGAGGTAGGTTATCCATTTTGTTAATCTATTTACTAGTTGAAGGATATCTGGATTGTTTTCAGTTTGGGCCTACTATGGCTAATGCTATTATGAACTCTTAAGCATGTATCTTCATGAGGACATACGTTTTTATGTCTCTTAGGTAGATTCCAAGGAGTGAAATTGCTGGGTCATATGGCAAACATATGTTAAACTTTTAAAGAAATTGCCAAATTTCCAGGTATTTGTAAAATCGTACACTCCCACCAGCAACACATAAGGGTTTAGAAAATCCGTTTGTCTTCAAACATAATTATAATGATGATGATAGTATTAGAAATAACATCTGTCTTGTGAATTTTATATTTTCTCTTTATGTTTCAATTTTTATTCATCCAGGATCCATTTGGTGAAAGAAATGACTTTGAAATACAACTTACCACAAACTGAAACTAAATCTTAACTCTTTCTGGTTCTAATTCTAGACTCTGTTTTACTGGCATATTTAATAAAAAATAAAGAATCAGTAACACATTTTTTTGTTTTTTGTTTGTTTGTTTGTTTGTTTTGAGACAGAGTCTCTCTGTCACCCAGGCTGGGGTGCAGTGGCATGATCTTGGCTCACTATAAGCTCCAACTCCTGGGTTCACGTCATTCTCCCACCTCAGCCTCTGGAGTAGCTGGGACTACAGGTGCCTGCCACCATGCCTAGCTAATTTTGTTTTTTGTATTTTTAGTAGAGACGTGGTTTCACCATGTTAGCCAGGATGGTCTTGATCTCCTGACCTCATGGTCTGCCCGCCTCAGCCTCCCAAAGTGCTGGGATTACAGGCATGAGCCACCACACCCAGCCAACAAATGTATTTTTTGAAATAAATGTATAGTATGTTTTAGCACCTTATAGAGCTAGTCATTCCTATTCTACATTTTCTCAAAAATTTCCCCGTAAAAACAACATGTCAGCATACTGAATTGAGTTCTCATATCAATCCTTTTTCCTTGCTTTTCTGTTTTATTCTAATTGAGTTCATGGCAGACATTTAATGCTCAATACATATGTATTAAAAAAGATCCAAAATGCTGAATGGAGGATGCCTATCAGGAATCTCTAGGCCTTCATGTTTAATTTAACTACAAATACTAACAACCTAAGGAACCACAATCTATCATTTCCGTACCCTGAAATCAACCTCTCCTACTCTAGCCACCATTTCTTTACTTTTAAAAATGTAGGATTTTGCTCCTTTTCTCCCCATGTGCATCAGGCTCACTCTGCAAAGGTTGAATCCTGGCTTGTCTGAGCCCGTGTGATCCCACGGTCATTCCAGTGAGAAAGTGGGTGCTGGGAATACTCTGGAAACAGTGTAGTTGCTCCTTATAAGGGCACACAGGAAAAAGTACTATCCTTTTCCTTTCTCTGGGAGTTGTTGTGAAAGAATAAGAAACCTAAAGCTGCTGCAGGGGTCCTTCTACCATCGCAGGAAAGCCGACGTGCTGTGTGTGACAGAGAGATGAGCTATGAAGTGCCAGGGTCGCTGGTGATGCCACTGGCCTGCTGAGTTGAGCAACCCTGGAGACGCCCAGCCTCGTATCTATCACCTATGTGAGATCATGTTTTAAAGAAAAACAAAGCCCACTAGGTGGGATTTTCTGCTATTCGCAGCAGAAGCATCTTCATTCAAATATTCATCCCACATATTTTAGTTCCACACCACAAGTCTCATATAAAATGAGACAAATCATTTCCTCCACTTAGGGAACAAGGCCTGTTTGTTGCAATTCTGGAATCAAACAGAACAGACATAATTACCAGCTTAATACATTCCTATAGGATTTATATGTACTTGTACTGATGTGTATGTACAAGTAACATATAACTAAAAACAAAATATGCATAAAATAAAAATTGAATTAGGTTGAAAACAAGTTGTCTCTGACAGTAGAGAAATTATGCTCAAATGATTATTACTTTGAAATAGACTTCTGCATTGAGTATGTACTTTTTAGATTTGACATATTTGATACTCTCAGAACACAATGGAGAACCCTCCATATTCTAAATTTGTCTTTCTCTGAAATCTGTACAAGTCCTTTGGTAATACTATATTACTGAAGTCTCTGGAATGAAAAACCATATACTAATTTACAGTAATAGATACATAATACAGTAGCCGGGATTAAGAAAGAGCTCTGGGCTGGGCACAGTGGCTCATGCCTGTAATCCCTGCACTTTGGGAGGCCAAGGCGGGTGGATCATGAGGTCAGGAGACCAAGACCATCCTGGCTAACACGGTGAAACTCCGTCTTTACTAAAAATCCAAAAAAATTAGCCGGGCGTGGTGGTGGGCGCCTGCAGTCCCAGTTACTCGAGAGGCTGAGGCAGAATGGTGTGAACCTGGGAGGCGGAGCTTGCAGTGAGCCGAGATCGCGTCACTGCACTCCAGTCTGGGCGACAGAGTGAGACTCAGTCTCAAAAAAAAAAAAAAAAAAAGAGAGAGAAAGAAAAAGAAAGAAAGAGTTCCGATGTACTTGCTAGCTGGTTTCTCATCTCATGTTGGCCAAGTTTTAGTTGTTACAGTCTCTTCCCAGTTTTTATGCATTGCCTTTGTAAACGTTAGATTTACTTTTTTAACCGACAAGTACAAATTTTATAGTGTATTTAGGTTGTAGAGTCAAAGTTTTGGTATATGCCTATAGCGTGGAAAGTCTAAATCAAGCTATTACACATATGCATTACCTCACATACTCATGACATATACATGAAAACCATTATTCTATTGGGAAATAATCATCCCTTTTTCTTTTCTTTTTCTTTTTTGTCCTTGGAATGAAATGGACCAGATGATTTTTTTCCACCTTCTTTTCTTTTATTATTATTATACCTTAAGTTCTGGGCTACATGTGCAGAATGTGCAGGTTTGTTACATAAGTATACAAGTGCCATAGTGGTTTGCTGCGCCCATCACCCAATAATCTACATTAGGTATTTCTACTAATGCAATCCCTCCCCAATCCCCCCACCCACAGACAAGCCCCAGTGTGTGATGTTCCCCTCCCTGTGTCCATGTGTTCCCATTGTTCAACTCCCAGTTATGAGTGAGAACATGCAGTGTGTGATTTTCTGTCCTTATGTTAGTTTGCTGAGAATGATGGTTTCCAGCTTCATCCATGTCCCTAAAAAGGACATGAACTCATCCTTTTTTATGCTGCATAGTATTCCATGGTGTATATGTGCCACATTTTCCTTATCCAGTCTATTATTGATGGGCATTTGGGTTGGTTCCAAGCCTTTGCTATTGCGACTAGTGCCACAATAAACATACGTGTGCATGTGTATTTATAGTAGAATGATCTGTAATCCTTTGGGTATATACCCAATAATGGGACCGCTGGGTCAAATGGTATTTCTAGCTCTAGATTCTTGAGGAGTCGCCACATTGTCTTCCACAATGGTTAAACTAATTTACATTCCCACTAACGGTGTAAAAACTTTCCTATTTCTCCACATCCTCTCTGGAATCTGTTTCCTGTCTTTTTAATGATCGCCATTCTAACTGGCATGAGATGGTATCTCATTGTGGTTTTGATTTGCATTTCTCTAATGACCAGTGATGATGACCATATGTTTGTTGACTGTCTTCTTTTGAGACGTGTCTGTTCATATCATTCACCCACTTTTTGATGGGGTTTTTTTTTCTTGTAAATGTGTTCATTTGTAGATTCTGGATATTAGCCCTGTGTCAAATGGATAGATTGCAAAAATTTTCTCCTATTCTGTAGGTTGCCTGTTCACTCTGATGATACTTTCTTTTGCTATTCAGAAGCTCTTTAGCTTGTACAGGGAGAAGAAAAACAAGTTGATAAGTCTCCCTGAGCCAATACTACTGCAGAGCACTGGACTTTTATTTTTTATTTTTTATTTATTCATTTTATTAGAAGGAGTTTCACTGTTGTTGCTCAGGCTGGAGTGCAGTGGCATGCTTACCACAGCCTCTGCCTCCCAGCTTCAAACCATTCTCCTACCTCAGCCTCCAGACTAGCTGGAATTACAGGCATGCACCACCAAGCACAGCTAATTTTTTTGTATTTTTAGTAGAGATGAGGTTTCTCCTTGTTGGTCAGGCTGGTCTCAAACTCCTGACCTCAGGTGATCCACCCACCTCGACCTGCCGAAGTGCTGGGATTGCAGGCGTAAGTCACTGCGCCTGGCCGACCACAGGCCTTTTCTAAGTGGAGAGGAGTTTTGGTTTAAATTGCCCGATCAGAAATTTGGAGCCAAAGTCTTTCCTATTATTTCTGTCTCATGCCTTATTACCTCTACCATCATTCCAGGAAAGCGAATCTGTTTCTAAAAGAGAATGAAAAGGTATTACCTGTTGGCGGAAGTCCAGAGTGTCCTGGGATAAAGGGGAAAAGACATACACTTCAAAGATATGGAAGCAGGCCAGGTGCGGTGGCTCATGCCTGTAATCCCAGCACTTTGAGAGGCTGAGTCAGGTGGATCACAAAGTTAAGAGATCGAGACCATCCTGGCTAACATGGTGAAACCCTACCTGTATTAAAAATACAAAAACTAGCTGGGCGTGGTGGCAGGTGCCTGTAGTCCCAGCTACTCCGGAGGCTGAGGCAGGAGAATCACTTGAACCCAGGAGGAGGAGGTTGCAGTGTGCTGAGATTGCGCCACTGCACTCCAACCTGGTGACAGAGTGAGACTCCGTCTCCAAAAAAAAAAAAAAAAAAAAAAGATACGGAAGCAAATCTGTCCTCCAACATAATATCCCAGCCCCAGATCTCCCACCTGAGATTTCTCTAACACCACAACCTACATGAACAGGGCAGAGAGGAGAAGAAACTCACCACGCGACCCATGAAGCGCTAAGTGTCTGTCACAGGATCCAGTGTAATCACATTAGCCTTAGTGGCTCTGCCTTAATTTGCTCCAGAATCTCCAATCAAAGGATCCCTGCTTGTTAGCCCTGTTTTGTTTTTTTTGTTTTTTGTTTTTTTTTTTGAATCTCTGCAGGCCACAAGCTATTAAGCTTTGACATAGTAACCATGCACTGATGATTTCCAGATTAGTGAGACACTGGAGGTCATTTGGGGAAAAAAAGGCTTTATCCAGGGCCACTCATATACTGAGAACTAGCCTCAGCAAAGCCATAGTTCCTTCTCCAGAAAAGCCTATGGAGAGAGCCAGCTACCAAAGGCTCCTCACCTTTCTGATTCCTGAAGTAGACGAACAGCCCGGCCCCAAGGAAGAGCAGGCCCAGCACAAAGCCCCCGACTCCACTCAGCATCTTGCTCTGTGCAGATTCAGACCGTGCTCCTGAGAGAGGAAGCCAGGTTTAGTGATGTTTATTCCAGATTGAACCTCTTTAATTGAGATCCTGAGATTCAGAGCTTTGAAAATGGGAAAAAAAGGCTGCCCTGTAAGAAGTGAAATAACTATTCCTGGGGAGAAAAAGGGTTTTCAAATCACACTGAACAGTTACAAGGTTAGACCAAAACAAAGGCCGGACGTGGTGGCTCTCGCCTGTAATCCCAGCATTTTGGTAGGCCAAGGAAAGTGGATCACCTGAGGTCAGGTGTTCAAGACCAGCCTGGCCAACATAGCAAAACCCAGTAAAGTACAAAAATTAGCCAGGCGTGGTGGCAGGCGCCTGTAATCCCAGTTGCTTGGGAGTCTGAGGCAGGAGAATCACTTGAACCCGGGAGGTGGAGGTTGCAGTGAGCAGAGATTGTGCCACTGCACTTCAGCCTGCGTGATAAGAGTGAGACTCCGTCTCAAAAAACAAAACATAACAAAACAAAAAACATAAAAGAAAATAAAAATAAAAGAAGAAACAAATTGTGAACAAAAGTAACTGTGGTGATGGTAATCTAGGAAAGCCGTAGTATTTTAGGATTAAAAGGTGGTGATGGTGGCAGTGACAAGCTGTCCAGAGTGTCCCACTGCAGCGGGAAGTTGCAAGCAGTGGTGGCAGAAGTGGGACCCCTGTGCCCTATGTCCCCTGTGCCTTGTGTCCCTCAGGCAGTGCACTGTGCTGTCCCAACCCTTGAGCAGCCGACGGGACTCGCCCCCAGGCCCGGAGCCTCCACCACTCCTGTCTTGCTGCTTCACCCTGCAGCTGTGGGCAGCGCATGGAGCTGGGACCAAGCTTCAGGGGCCCAGAATGGGAAGTGGGAGTGGCCCCACTTTGGGGATCTGGCCAGCAGCAAGGCCACTGTCTCACCCTGTGAGGGTGCCCAGTTTCTGCACCTCACGAGGACGCTCTGCCTGAGTCTGCCCAGGGTTGTTTCCCCAGGGGTGGCCAGTGAGCCTGATACTCCAGATGGCCAGGCCTGGGTCGCAATCTGCTACCCAACTTGCCGCCCCCATCCCATCCAGGCAAGGGGGAGCCCTGGGTGAGAGTTGAAGCCAGCTGGGCTTCTGGGTAGGGTGGGGACTTGGAGAACTTTTCTGTGTCTAGCTAAAGGTTTGTAAATGCACCAATCAGCACTCTGTGGCTAGCTAAAGGTTTGCAAATGCACCCATCCCCACTCTGTAAAAACAGACCAATCCGCACTCTGTAAAATAGTCCAATCAGCGCTCTGCAAAATGGACCAATCAGCAGGACGTGGGTGGTGCCAAACAAGGGAATGAAAGCTGGCCACCTGAGCTACCAGCAGCAACCTGCTGGGGTCTCCTTCCATGCTGTGTAGTCCTTGTTCTTTTACTCGTCACCATAAATCCTGAAGCTGCTCACTCTTTGGGTCTGCATTATTTTTAAGAGCTGTTAACACTCACCACAAGGGTCTGCGGCTTCATTCCTGAAGTCAGCAAGACCACGAACCCACCAGCTGAACAAGCAACCCTGGATGCGCCACCTTTAAGAGCTGTAACACTCAATGCGAAGGTCTGTGGCTTCACTCCTGAAGTCAGTGAGACCAAATGATCCTGTAACAGTGACATGGTTAGGCTGGCTCTGTTTCCCCACCCAAATCTCATCTTGAATTACAATCCCCATAATCTCCACGTGTCCATGGTGGCACCTGGTTGGAGGTTAGTTGATCTGGGGGCCGTTTTCCCATGCTGTTCTTCTGATAGTGAGTGAGTTCTCATGAGATCTGATGGTTTTATAAGTGACAGTTCCTCCTACGGGTGCATTCTCTCTCACCTGCTGTCCTATAAGATGGGCCTCTTCCCCTTCTGCCATGATTGTAAGTTGCCATCCCATCCATACAGAACTGTGAGTCAATTAAACCTTTTTTCTTTATAAATTACCCAGTCTGCGGTATTTTCTTATGGCAATGTAAGAACAGACTATTACAGGTGGCAAAGAAAAGTAATTCTTAATAACATACTGAAATACGGTTAAAGGGAGCACTTTCAAAACTTGTTCCCAATCACCATGCAATGCTTCTGGAATATACCGCGTAGGATTCTTTCTCTACTGTAGAATTTTCCAAACATTCTATGGGGACATTCTCTATGTACTTATTGTGTCAAGTTTCTTCAAATAACGATTTTTCTGAATATACTATTTTGATGGTTCTTTGGTGAATTTTCTGGTGTTTGAACTGGTTATTTGCAGTGAGGGGAGCGGGAGGATTTGTGTGATCCCTTCATCCTGAATTGTGTGAAGGTCGAATGTATCAAATAAGCTCTGGAATTGTCAGAGTAGGCAGACAGCCCGAAATGAGCAGGCAAGGGAGCCCCTGGGAAAAGAAGTCTTGGAGTCACTGCCCACTGATCATCAGCACTGTGCACTAATAGCAAAAAGGACAATGGCCACACTGGCTACACCTGGCCTTGCGGTTGGTCCCTCCGACCGAGGGAACTTATCAGGCCCTAGCTAGAAACAGCCATGGCAGGGACTCTCTCCACTGATGAAATTGTGCACTCCTCCAATAACTTCCCGTAGAATAGCCTGTTGCTTATTATAACAATAAAAACCACAGCGCTGGGTGGAGATTTTAAATACTGAGACATTCAACATGTGTAGCAATATGTACAACCCCAGAGCATACGCACCCGAGGAGTCCTCCCGAAACATGTTTGCAAGTGACACCCCCTCAGGCCCCTTCATGAATAATCATGTGAGATTCTCATAGAGAGTCCTTCAGCACTGGCTGCTTCTGGCTCCTTCTTTTGAGCAGCCCACTCTGTCTCCTCTTTCAGAGGGTCCTGTCTCTTTAAATAAACACTGCTACTACTATTTGTCCAGCTGGAACAGCCCAGAACTGTTTTCCACTCCTCCCTAGGAATGTACTTTATTTTCCTTCAATAATCTCTGCTACTCAATCCTTGCTGTGCATCTCTTGGCTGAATTCTTTCTTCCAAGTTAGGCAAGAATGGAAGATTCGTACACTTCTTAGTAACAGAATTAATCAGAAATATCCAGGCTCATTGGGTTGGTCTCTTTCTGAGAATGTGCAGGCAATTCTGTGTTCTCGTCCTGCGGAGGAAAACGCTAAAGCAGGGTTTTTTTGTTGTTGTTGTTGTTGTTGTTAAGAGAGCTCTACTGGGCAATGGGCTCAGAATCAGTTTTTGGGTCCTGAGCCTGCAAGTCAATGACATGCGTGTATCTTCCATAGAGTAAATCTGAAATCCTAGGGTTTGGCCTCTGAGAATGGGTGAAAAGATGGAGAGGAGGAGATGGGGGTAGACTGGGGAGTAGAATGAGAAGACCTACAAATATGACAAGATTTACATATCAGCATTGCTCATTCCAAATTTAATGAGGACTGAGATCAGACACTGAATATTGACATCACCTGTTCTTTAAGAAAAAGCCTTGGATGCCTGTTTTATTACCAGGAGAACAGTCTGATTTGTTATTGAAACCATATATTTGGACATGTGTATTTGGGTAGAAAACCTGAGTAATGGGAGCAGGGGCAGGATATAGCATTAAGATGAGAAGAAAATATTAGAAACACAGTGAGCTCTTGTTAATTTGTCTATAAAAGTATGACAGTATTTGTTTCTGAAATGGTTATGAGAACCTACCACAAAACGTAAAGATGAATTATCCTTGACAATGTGATAGACTGCAAATAAATATGAGTTAGATTTGGATTTCACCTGGGCTGAATAATTCACTAGCTATGTTTTCACTGATATCTTGCCTACCTTAGCCTTACCTACTATCCTCATAAAAATCCTGATAGTAATTTTTACTGCACTGAATTATTATCAGAATTAAAGGGAAAATGTAAGCAAAGGAATTAGGTACCATATTTGGTGATAATAAAATATTGCACAAACCATACTTTCCATTTTTTTCTCAAAATTTCTACACCCAAATTGTAAAAGATAAAAAAGCACACCCCAAGCCAACACAACCTTTGTTATTTACTAATAACCAATTACTTTGTTATTTACTAATAAATAACAAATTTATCTGTGTATGGTTTAGAGAATCCAAGCAGAATTTCTAGCATATTACAGATAGAATAGGCATACGTGTTTTTTAACATATCTATAATTTTAATATAAAATAAGTAGATGAGTAATAGAGAATGCTGTCAAATGCAGACAAATATGAAATAAAAAAGCAAAAATAAATCCATATCTTTCTATGTAAGGAGACCATTATTTAGAGTAGTTTTAAATGTACAGAAAAATTGCAGAGAAAGTTCAGGGAGTTGCCACACCCCCTTTTCCCTAAAACAGCCCTCTGTTCAGTTTCTTCTATTATTAACATCCTGCATCATTGTGGTACACTTGTTACAACTGATGAACCAATACTAATACTTATTGTTAACTCAGGTCCATAGCTAAATTACGGTTCACTCTTATTATACAACTCTATGGGTTCTGAAAAATACATAATGCCATATATCCACCATTAAAGTGAAATGGTGGATCTTCGGGTCTTAAAGCTTGAAACTTATATTTGTTTTATCTGAGTTTCTTTCCAAAAAAAGATCCTACAGCTCTCTCAAAAAGTATAAAAGAACTGGAACTCACCAGATCATCTCATCCAGACAATGAGACTCCCTGTTCCTCATTCATCATGATTGTTCCCTTACCCCTCCCTAGTTCCTGTTTTCCCATACCTAGCTACATTTCTTCCCTGATATATAAACTCCTAATTTTAGTCAGTCACACAGATGGATTTGACACCGGTCTCCCACCTCTTCAGCTGCAGCACTTGATTGAAGATTAAAGCCTTCTTCTTTGGCAATACTCATTGTCATCTCAGTGATTGACTTTCTGTGTGGCAAGCAGCAAGATACAGACTGAAGCCCTTGTGTGCAAGACCTAGACTGAACCTGGTGTTTTAGTAACAAAAGTATCCTACGAAGTAGTTTCATTGACCTAAAATTGTCCTGGACTCC